CCGTCTGCAGTGGCCGGTCTCACAGACGGCGCACAGGCTGTGTCCGTGGCTGAAACGACACCGCTTTCCTGAAGGTCGCTCCTAGAACTGTGTGCATTTGAGCAAGTTGCATTCCCCTGTTGAGCTTGGGAGGCTTCCGTGGAGGCACTGGAAGGAAGGCTGATTCCCTGCAGGAGCGTTTTCTTTGTTAATTCAGTGCCCTCCTCATCATTTTTACTTTTGGGGAGATTTTGATCATTCTGCGGTGCATTACTTGAAGAACACTGTAGTTGCTTTTCTGTTCTGGATCGAGATGCGCTCTGCGAGCTGGCAGCAGCAGCGGTGAGTACGCCTCGCTCATTCTCCGGGGCGGAAAGCTCTCGAACGTTCCCTGCTGGAGTTGTCTGAGCAGATGCCAGTGGAGAAACTGTAGTTTGTGACCATGGCTTGTTTTCTGTCGGGTAAATACCAGAAATCGTCACAGGAGTCACTAGGTTACAAGTTCTCTGGACTGGCACAACATTGGCCGTTTGCTTTTGTAAATTATGACCAACATTAAACGTTATTCCCTGGACAGAGGCTCCCTGGTTATTTCCATTGGGTTGGCTCCCATTTGAATAGACAATGATGTTCTTTTGAACCTGATCACTGGGAATAACAACTGAGACCTTTGCATTTTTGAGATTACCCTTCCAGTGGATTGTAGGGTCATCATACAGGCAAATATCATTTGCTTTCAGTAGCTCAATGTATCTCCCGTTTTCCTTTTGCAGTTCATCCAGCTGTTTCCGGAGTTTTTTTATCTCTTCAGCTACAAAACAGTGAGAGCATTCCATTACACCAGCCCCCGCGCAAACACCAGGTAATGTTACCACAAGACTTGGAGAGAAAGTACACTCCAAGAAGAGAGTACTCTCTCTTGAATACTCCTTCTTGAAGAGTACGCTCTCTTCAAGCAGTTAAGGTAACATAAATGAAGACTCTTATCCTGATGACCCTCTCTGCTGAGCAGGAAAGTGAATAAACTTCACAGACTGTTCTGCTACCAATAGCAGGATATGTCAAATTATTTAGTTAGAAAAAACATCAGGACTAACTCAGATGAAACACTAAAATGGTTTTTATTTAATTGATAATCTCATGGCTTTCCAGGACAATTAAATTTCATTACATCTAAAAACTATATGCAAAATTAAATACAAAGCACTTACATAAAGCCACAAAAGCCAACAATGCACTTGGAGATGGCTCACCTAACTCGGAAAGTCACCTAGGCTCTTCAAACCCTATTACATGGATATGATAAAAATAAACTACTTAGAATTCCGTTCTATGGGTAGAAATGAAAACCACAAACCAAATATTAGCTTGCAGATTATTTCTGTCATAGCTCCATCACTGTATTTTTACGCATCCGTTCAAGATGATTTTATATGATGCATTACGTTTTTATAAAACAGGCTGGTATCACTTTCACAGCATTTGAAAGGAAAAAAAAATACCTCTATGTATGAAGGAAACTGTGTTTTCACGAAAAAAAGTCTAACTGAATTTCTCAGAAACTGTTCTGGCCACTACAGCAGGAAAAATCAGGATGGAATCTACTAGATGCTGTGGCACCACCTGTGAGCTCTGTAAGTGCTTTACATCACCACGCAACTGCTCCATGACCTCATCGCTATGTGCAAGACCACGCACGTGGGCATTCTGCTGGCTTCTTGTTTCAGACACTCTAAGCAGCCGTGTCTTTCCAGTACGTGCGTAACGACCTGAGATGCCAGCCTGCTGACCCAGGCTGCGTGGCGAGTCGCTGCTGACAGACACACAGCGGAAGCGAGTGACAGAAATCCCGCAGCCTCCGGCAGCGCCTGTACTTACCCTGTTCATTGTTCCCTCCATTTAACAGCAGCTCATCGTTCTGTCTTTTCATCTCAGTTATATACTTAAAGGCCTGATCCAGGATCATGTTCTTGCTCTTTAAAAGAAAACACATACATACAGTTAGGAGAAAGGTCTGTCATTGGTAGAGCCATTAACGATGAGACTGCACTTGCTCCAAGAGGTCTTCACTTCAAAAATGTGCTAACCTGAATGATTCTCTGAATATTGCTGGGTGGAGGTTTTTGGTTTGGGGCTTTTTTGTTTGTTTGTTTTTTTGATGTAGTGTCTTTTTTTCAGATGAACCACAGGTTTCTTGAGTGATACTGACCCTACAACACCATGAGTTTTTACAGAGTAACATTTTCAGTGCTGGAGCTGAGGTTTTCTGATGCCTGAAGAAGATACTAAGGCCACAGAACCCAAACAGCAAGCATCATTTCTTGCTGAGCAGCCTAAAGTTCATGTTCACTCCTAAACATGTACATTACGTGAAATTTCCAGGATACTGCCTTGTAAATATTTTATCAGGAAAGAAACAAACATACAACAATTATCCAAGGAGGTGTATACATAATTTTTAAAGTAATATACTGGAGAACATGGGAAGAGAAAATATGCCATAACCCTTCCACCCTCTTCCTTTTATGAAACTATGCTTATTCTGCAAAACCTCTTGTTGACTTAATTTCTCCTACTGTTCTGTAGGAACAGCCTCTGCTGTAGATGGCTCTGTCTTGAAAAAGATGCTTCTGTGCATCAACCTCAAACCATTTGTCCCACTTCATCTTTCACAAGGACAGCTTCTTAAACGACTAGTATTATTTCACTTTCTGAATTGCTTTCATCCCATTATACGAACGATGACAAAAAGCAGCACGCTTGCCATTCTATTTACATCTTAGGACATGAAGTGGCCACCAGCAAAGGGCTGAGAAGGGACTGGAGACTGACCTGAAAAATGATCTTGCTTAACCCACAGCTTTCACCACTCGGACATCGTACAGACCACATCAGACAGCACCAGCAGAAAATGACAACCAGGAGCTGCACAACGTAACCAGCAACCCACTGGCCAGATCCAACCTACTTCTGTCTACCTGCCAGCCCTCCTGCGGAGGAGACGGTGGACAGCTGTCCACCCATCTGCCCAACGCAAGAGGACAGGCAGCAGCCCCGGTGGGATTTTTGCCTCCTGTTGTTGCCAATGCTCAGGCAGCCCGAACGAGACCTTTGGGAAGCTGTGAGTCAGATGCCAGGCAGACATCAGCAAGCTGACCAACCCTCTGTGGGCACATCAGTCTAGTTTACAGCTGCTCAAAGATACTGCGTGTACGAATCGAGGAAAAGATCAGTCACATGTCCAGCTCGTACCGTTTCGTTCCTTCAGCATTCATATTCATAGATTCATAGATTTCTAGGTTGGAAAAGACCTCAGAGATCATTGAGTCCAACCGTCCCTAATCCTCATTAAACCATATCCCTAAGTAGATCATCCACCCTATTCTTAAACACATCCAGGGATGGGGACTCAACCACCTCCCTGGGCAGCACTTTCAGGTAAAAAGCTCAAAATCTGCATAATTACCTTCATTAATTACCTTCATGTGGCCCTGCACTTCCAAGGAGGAATTCTATTACAAACAATTTTTAAATACTAATAGCTAGTAAGATTTTCAAGCATACTAATTCAGACAGTTTTGCCTTCTTCCTGAGACAAACAGCCAAGTAAGTATTTGTACTTCTACAGACAAGGAAGCACACAAGCACTTTACAAGAAACTCGTTTGCACTTCTGCATGGACACTCACTTGCTTAAGTGCTGGAGAGCAGGGAATGAGTTCTCCGATTCTGTTTATCCCAGCGTTGATCTTCTTCTTTCGATGTCTCTCCACTAGGCAAAAACAACACATGCTGTGTCAGCCGGTGGGGCAAGGCAGCACGACTCGTGCCAAGGCAGCACAACCCGTGCCAAGTCAGCGCAACTCGTGCCAAGGCAGCGCAACTCGTGCCAAGGCAGCACGACTCGTGCCAAGGCAAGGGCTCACAAACACAGCACTGCCCGACGTATCGGAGCCTTCAGTAACTCCAGAGAGGGAAAAACCCTCTGAAGTAAACCTCAGTTATGGAATTAACACTCCGCGGAATTACGAGCGGGAACGTAAGCCGCAACATCTTTAAAAGGTGGGATGTTCTGGACCCCTCTGGGGAACAGGGAACTACAGCCACTCGGCACTCGGGTTCTGATCGTGCTCTCCAGCGGAGCTTTACGAAACCCTTTCCACAAGGCAGAGGGATGAACTTCAGCCCTACAGAAAGCTGGAGGAACGGAGATTATGGAAAGAACCAGTTACAGATTTGGGAAGGAAATGTGGGTCTCTGAAATCCTACTGTCAAGTTTAGCAACAATAGAGAAATAATTTAGATTTTACCAGTTTTCAGTCTTAATTTGAAATATGTATTGACGGAGCAGCCAACACAAAATATAGGTGAAGCTCCAAGTACATGGACTATCAGTTACCCTTTTTTATGTTCAAAGGTGTAACTGTTGCACAAGGTCCAATTATGAGTAAAGAAAATATTTAACGAGCAGCATTTGCAGTGAATTATCTATTTTGGAGAAGGTCAGAAAATGCTTCATTTATAGTCGCCTGGCGACACCATTTACTGGTCTGCCAGGCTTGGAGGAGCCTGTGCCAATGTCTCTGGGCATGGTTCCTACAGACAGCGTCCACCTACCCACCACGGTCAGCGTCCTTCAGGTATCCCTCAGTCTCATGTAGCTGTTTTTTTTTGACTGAGATGTTTTTGTGTTTTATACAAACTAAAACCATTAGATGCCTTTTTCCCCCAAAGAGCCTGGGAAAAAAGTTCTGTCGTGGCTTTGTCAAGATTCAAATCAACGTATCGTTGGTTCCGTGTGCGGAGCATCGCCCCGGGGTCTGGCAGCCGGGCGGCTTTCGGCGGCACACGGAAACCCACGGTGATGCACAGGTGAGTGTATTTTACTGTGCTCCTTCACAAAGGATACACTGAGCTCATGTAAGCAGTTTTATTTCAGTACTCTGTCTCTTCAATGTACATTTTTCAAACTACTACGCTATTTCTCGTATTTCAGGACAGGCTGGTGGTGTTGACAGGGACAGGCCTAAATACACTAAACACAGCACGACAAAGTCTCTTCTGCAAGAAATTCAGCATGCAAATCAGAGCAGCTGTATCAACATTAAAACACATGGTCCTTGGGACTTAATTTTTATCTGTCTTACTAATACAGGCAGATATCACAGTGGCTGTGCCTTTGTTTTGAGATTTTCCATGCCCTACTCAGCTTGCCCAGGTATTTTTGACTAAGTGAGCTACAGAGTGGCAGGGAACTGGTCCCCACATCTTGCAGAGCTCAGCCCAGTGGATGGAGACTTTGGAAAGCTACGGGCAAGTGAAACAGGAACCGAGAATGAGAACGAGGTGGGCAATCTTCTGAGTAACCTTGGTGAGACTATTTCCTTACGCTTCTTAATCCTTAAGAACTGGGCACAGCCTGGGCACAGCCTGACCAGCACTATATTCCACAGCCTTCACACAGGAACTACTCAGTGCTTCTTCCAGTTGAGTTTGCGAAGATCGCACAGTAGTGCTGTTTAGTAACAGAAGAACTGGAATCAATTTCTTAGGATAAACCAGGCCAAAACCCGCCAGACCTTTTCCCAGTCCATCCTTCTGCTGCTCCTTGCAGGAGATGCCACTGGAGCTAGCCAGCGATGGGAAGGAAAGGCTGCAGGCGGCCTGAGGGATGCAACTCCTGCAACATAGGGATGGTATTCACACAGAGCTTCTGGGATGCCAGCACCCAGCTGGGTGCCTCAGGGACAGGCTACAGGAATACTTCTAATCTAGGGAACCTCTAAAGCTCTCGGGCTGGATATCCATCTCCAATTTGCTTAAGTGTTTACCTGTTTATTTTCCGAGGTGGGGTATTATTTCTGTGTGAATGCCTGTGCATTTATTTTCCTTCAGAATTGAACACAACTGGAGTTGCTTACGTCTTCGTTTCCTAGCACTGGGAAGCCGGGGCAGGATCATCCTCGGGCGTGCTCCTGGGACCTCGTACTGTGGGAAACGGCACACGAGACCAGCCACGAAGCCCTTCTGCACAGACATTCCACGCGAGGACCCAGAAAGGTGCTCGGAAGGGTGGGGGGTTTTGGGTGTAATAAACTCCTACGGGGGAACCTTCTCCATGCAAAATTTGTTTTACTGGCTCAAAGCTCCTGTGCTTATTTCCTGACCAAACATGGTATAATGTTCCTACCTGCATTATGTGTCTCCCGGTTTTTCTTTCTGTGAAACACAAAAGGAAAACAGTGATGTGGAACAGAAGGGAAAAAACCTGCATTCAAACAAATGTTTCTTTTATTACTTCCACTACAGCTAAAAATACTAAATATTATATTCTGCTCTGTGAGCAAGAACACAGTAGAAGTCACAGTCACTGGTTTTAGACATCAGTATTAATTAGTTTCTAACACAAATTCCTTTGTGTTTGTACTTCAGTAAACTCCAGCATAACTAGGCATAGAGTAATGCCTCCTTGCTTATTGTTACATATATTTATAGGATAGAGCTGGATTTTTATGTTTCTGTTCAGCAACAACTATGCAGTAGCAACAGCTATTGAACACTGTCCAGCATTCAACAGGCCACGTATTAAAAAAAATAGAACATTTTCTCAGGATATTTTCTGAGCACCAACATAACCATTTTTTTGAAATGTTGCTTTTACGTTCACTGGATCAATGAAACAGGAGAAAACGTTATCAGGCAAATTGATTTCTCCAGACGTGTTACCTTCAAACAGCGTACCTTCTGGCATCGAACGCGCTTCTGGGCGCGAGAAACCAGAACTACCACTCCTCTGCAGCTGTTCTTCTTTACTGCCTCAAAATTCTGTCTACGTATAACACGGGGGTGTGAGGGTTGTCTTTGTTCTCAGATGTGCGCCTGGGAGTTCTGGACCAACGACAACCAGGTCAGAATCATTGTGCAATGCCTCAAATTGCTTTGCTGGAAGTCAATAAATCCCAGACGTGTACTCTGCCTCTAAAATCAGATGTACTGTGCACACGCAGCCAGCCAAATGCTTCCAGGAAGTACAGTAAAGCAAAGCACGTGTTTTCTGGAAAAATAAATATTCTAGAAAAAAAAAAAATTTCAAAAGATTTCTGTCCAGCAGCGCACTCTGTCTAGATGTTAGGCTGGAGTATGCGAAAAGCAGAGCAGCATCTTCTGCCCTCCTCTTCCACTGATACTAACAAGGAATCTGAAGTGAGAGAGCCAGATACGTGTAGGTGACACGTGTGATTACTACAGGGCATGTGTTCTTTACACTTTGAGTTGATATGTTTGTTTCGGGTAACTCACCAAAAGTTGTGTCCATCTGGAGTAACTTAGTGATTACAAGGCAGTAACGTCACTGCAGATGGAGACACTTGCTAAGAAACGACATCTAAAGATGAACATCTTCAAGTCTCATAAATGCCAACCGTAGGCTGCACAGCTGTTCTACAGCTGTTCGAGAAGCGACGAATCTTCTGTTCATTGAAAACTTGCACCACCAGAACAGGAATGCACATAAACTATCATTTTAAATGGTTTCTAATTTCACAGTGAACTACAGTTCTCCCACTTGTATCTAAACCAATCATCTGCCAGCCAGAATTGATCACACATCCTAAAAACGCACAAGAATATAAGGGCTAGAGAGACCCAGCTGCCCTTTGATTCCCACTTCCAATACAGAATCCAAAATACTCTATTAGTGGGGTAAAAAGAGTCACAAAATCCTTGAAGACTGGAAAAAATTCTGTAGGACAAATTAATGTTCCCCTGAGCTTTTCTTATGGTAAATAATATCCTACGTGGCCAGTGAGCGTAAGATGGGTGCTGTATTTACCGCGGGACTGCAGGATTCCCCCACCAGTCATGTACAGGGGACACACTACTGCAAAGGAAGGAAAACCTGGAAAAGCTGTAATGGGCTCCAGGCCACTTGTTTACAAATTTTGGTCACAGTGTTGCGGTTCAACCTCAAGATGTATTTTGAGTTTCAGCAGAGATTTGAGATGTAAGATCCAGATTCCACTGGCAGTTGAGGAAGAGATCTAAACTGCTGTGTCAAGGGGGTTTTGCAGCCACAGTTCCCAAACTTCTGGATCAGTCCTGGTCAACCCTCCGAACTACCTCTGGACTTTTAGCTAGAAGCTTTGGACCTGTGCCATGACCGCACATTACAGAACCACAGAACAGTCACTTGCCCACGGAAACTCACCGGTGTTGCTTCTTAGTAGGTGTCTCATTCTCTGTCATCTCTGGCATGGTTTCGGAGAAGAGAGCCTGAAGAAAAGTGTGGAAGGCGTTAACAACTCCTGCACTCTCCTGAATCCGCAGCACACGACGTTTGTCACTTTTACCACAAGGACAGGGCCACGCTACACCGTACGCAGAGGTCCATCACCGGGATGCAGAGCAGCTGGTCGTGTGCGTATTACAAATGAAGTACATCACCTGGCGAGGTGCTGGGTGAACCCCCGCTGTCTATGATGAACTGGTTTCCGTTTCCTCAATTACTTTAAATACAAAAACAATTATAATCCCAACCACTTTAAGGAAGCAAGAAGGAAAATTAGAGTATGTGCTTGTTTTTTGAATGGGAGGAGGCACAGCTGAACTCTCGTTCATCAGCCCTTCCTGAGTACGCATTCGGTCCCCAGCTCTGAACATGGCATGGCTGCCAAGCAAAACCCAAGCTACCACGAGGACATTTTATGAAACACGAGTTTAGAGTGCTATTCACGCAGCAAATTACAAAACTTACTTGCTATTGAATTAAGGTACAGCTTCAAATGGCCCAAAATAACAGCCTATGTTCTCGGACACATAAAATCCAGTCGAAGTTATGAAATAAAGTTATACATAAGGTCCTAATAAATTGGACTTAACCTGTCCTCAGCTTGAACACATCAGTAGCCAGTATTTAGACAAACAAAAACATTATGAAAAAAAAATAAACAAAAGAGGAGATTAAGTCAATAATGGTCGAAGATGTATCTACCAGAGGAAGGAATCTGAGAGGCCAAGTAACATGAAGTACACTGTAGATGACAAGAGGAAAAAAAGAAAATAACCTGGGTTTTGATAAGGCTGAGGTCTGTATTTAGTTTCGTGCTTCTGCTCATTCCCTCACCAACCAACCTGTTACTGCAACTCTTCCCAAGGGCCCTCAGACTCCCTGTGGCATCACTTGTCCCTGGCTCCTCCCTGAAAGCTCATCGGCTTCTTTTAACAGGCTTCATATCTTTAGGGTATTTGGTTGGTTGTCTGCACTGGAAGGAACTGGAGGTGTGTTTTAATGTAACTTCCAACACCAAGCACGTAACGATCACTGAGCCTACCTTGCTGACACTAACATCAAAAACAAGGAAAAAAGAATCCTTGGGGACCAGAAAGCCAGTCACCTACAGAGCTCCCAAAGCACCGGCGCACACATTCCGGAGAGGGCTCTGTGCACGCGCCTGCGTGTACGTGCGTGTGCAACTAACAGAAACAGCCTTTACTGGGCCAGAGCAGAACTGGGGTACTATTCTCCAGCCTTTACACTCTAAAAGGTTAACTGAACGCGGCGCTTTCGTTCAGAAAGGGTTAACTTAGGAGAAACAGGGCTGGTGCCGTTGGCCACTCTGCTCCTTCTTTAAGGACTTTCGCTGTTCCTGTGGAGACACGGGGAACATTGGCAAACCATGAAGTAAAGCAAACTGGTGATACCCTGCAAACAGATCCCGCCTGGGGAACTCAAGCACCTGAAGGAACCTAAGTCACTCCTCCTCCTCCTCCTGCTCCTCCTCCTCCTCCTCCCCAAGCGTGTTTGCACCACCACAAAGTCAGACGCGATTTTCTCCGAGACCAGTTCTGGTGCGACGCTGCTCCGCTGTGCGCTACGTACAGCCCACCGGAGACGGAGCTTTTTTTTCCCCTCGCCAGCGACGGGACACGGTCCGTGGCCCTTTCTGTTTCCATTTCTCAACAGGCTTTGCTCTCCCCCTTCCCACCAGCCACGCTCTGCATAAATTATGAAAAAACTTGACAGAAACAGAGTCTTTTGCTGTTGCAGAAAGTAGTGGTGCCACTTCAGCACTTTCATTCGCTGTCCTATAAATTACCACATGCTGCTTCTTAAAAGCAGATTTCTTCTCCTTTAAATCCCTTTAGCTTAATTCACTAACAATTTTATTTTTGTTCACACGTAGTCAGACCAGTCCAGTTGGTATCCCAGGTGCCCCAAGTTAGTGACAATGCACAACTCCGAACGCCAGTTTCCCACCCAGGGCACCTCCAGCTTACGCCCCTGCGCCCGGCTGGCGAGGGTCAGCAGTACTTACTCACTGATCCCAGCTGCGTTCGTCGTGTCCCGTGGGGCTGGGCTGAAAGATGTGGGGCGAGCTGGGAGAGCTTAGCAGGTGTGCAATTCTGATTATAAAAAAGAAAGGTACATCTGGTGAGAGCCCAGGCATCCTTTGCACTGCTGGCAACCAGAGATGTTCGCACACGCACCGAGAGGCTGAGGTCAGCATGGCTCCTTCCAGCGGGGCTTTTTCAGTTGTCTCAAAGGAGCCCAGCAGAACCTATAACCGTTACAGCTACCGGCCAGGACACGACCAGCAGAGCAGCCAGCCGGCAACGCGACGCTCTCATGTATCCACCACCAAGACAACACCTTGTGTGTCAGGCAAAGCAGCTACTCAAGGGGGCAAGAGGGTCACTTAATTTAGCACATACAGACTGTTTCTGTGTGGTGGGGTAAGGATGTGAGCACAAGGCATGTGGGCACGGTTCCCATACAGCGAAGCTCACCAACGTCACTCTTGGCAAAAGGCAGGTGCTGGATTGCGTTGTGTGGCAGTCACCTACCCCCCTTCTGCACCATCTGCAAGGACAGAGTTGATGCATCCGTTATTAGGCGTTACTAGACCACGGCTTTAAACTGCAAGAGGGGAGATTTGGATTAGAGAGAAGGAAGAAATTCTTCCCTCTGAGGGTGGTGAGGCACTGGCACAGGTTGCCCAGAGAAGCTGTGGCTGCTCCATCCCTGGGAGTGTTCCAGGCCAGGTTGGATGAGGCTTTGGGCAACCTGGTGTAGTGGAGGGTGCCCCTGCCCATGGCAGGGGGGGTTGGAACTGCATGATCCTGGAGGTCCCTTCCAACCCAACCAGTCTGTGATTCTAAGTACGCTGGAAATCAGAGCAAAAAGATGAGAGAGGTCTCAGTTTTGGTGAACTTAGCATTTTTGAAAGACTAATGTATTCACCAGGCAACCACATTTTTTTAAATCTTGCAAGTTCATACAGTTTCAGAACCAAAGGACTGTGTCTGTTTTACAGGGTATTTAATCCTGAAAGCATTAGTGTGAATTTACACGGCCAGTTCCCACGCAAGGCTACAGATAAAGCACGACCACGTCAAGGTAAAGGGTGTGAAAAGCACCCACAGACGCCCTCCCCAGAAGAGACACGGCTGGT